GGGACGTGTCTCCCACTTAGGGACCCCAGCAGCTCTGCTCAGTACCTGAGTTTGACCGAGAAAAGTCGTATACTTTGGCTTTTCTGGGCTCTGACAGCACTGCCAAAAAGGAGAGAGGACAGGTCAAGCCTCAGCAGGGCTCAGGCCCAGAGGATGCAGGAGGACGGGGCTGTTCCCTCCAAGCCCCTGCCCAGGGGCACTCAGGGAAGGGCTCGGGCCCTCAGCTGACGGGGGGGACCCCGCTGTGTGCTGCTCCTCTGCCTTGGGCCTCAGGGGACTCGCGGCCAGCTCTGGGTCGCAGCCACAGCGGGAGCTGCGTTCCTGCAGGTGTCCCCTTCCCCACCACCTGCAGAAGGTGGCAACGATGTCTGGAACCCAGAACCCTTTCAGCTTTGGCTGCTGACGGGAGGTGCAGGAGCGGGCCCAGGAGAAGAGCCTGCAGACACACAGTCAGCCCAAGGGGTGACACGGGCTGGCCACGGGACAGCAGTTACCTGGCATGGCCTCTGTCGCTCCACCCGGGACTGGCAGGGAGTTGCTGTGTTCTTCTGGAAACGCCACCTCCTGCACAGCCTCTTGGGCCATCACTAGGGAAAGGAAGCGGGACAGTTGGGTCAGATGGAAGCCTTCCCCAGCAGGGAGGTGGCACCTTCAGGAGGCAGTACTTCTCCGAGACACCCATGAGGGTGAGAAACAATTCCTCCCATCCCAGCTGTCGCTCTGCAGACAGGAAATCGAGCAGAGCCCCAAAAGCTTCCAAATCAGCATCTCCAGCTGACTTGCAGGACTAGGATAGGGCAGCCAGCCTTGCTTGGGACCCCGCTCTCCCCTGGAACTCGCCCAATGGGCCAGCAGAGCTGTGGGGCAGCTGGACACAAGTGCAGCACGTGCCAGGACCCCAAATCTGTCCCCGACCTCTGCGCAAACAGCTCTGAGTCCTCATGGTCCCAGTGGGGCAGCGGCTGCCCCTGGCACCCGGCTGTGGCCACCACTGGCCGCAGAGGCCCTGGACCATCCCTGGGGCTCGGCAGCGCCCGCAAGGGCTGAAACCCAGCGTGGCTGCGGCGAGGCTCTGATGGATCCCTTCCTGCTCTGCAGGCTACAGCCCGTCCAGGCGTGGAGCAAAACCCTCTGGTGTGCGAGTCCCACGGCTACCGCAGAGTGAAATACACCCACCGTGTAGTGCATGCATCTTCTTGAGAATGTCCATGAGGACTTCAGGTGGCTCCGGGGTCTTTTTCTCTTCTTCAGTTGGGTTCTTCTCCCTTGGAAGACCTTCACAGAAAGTATTTGGTTCACTCTCGTATCAATCAATTACAGAAAAGCAGTGCAAAGCCGGTGAGGTCAGCAGGGACAGACAATTCCCCCTGCGACCTCAGCCGGGATCTAGGGCAGGATCCAGCCAAGGAGATGGAAGAGCCTCCCCTTTGGGCACGTCTCTCAAATAAACACCCAGGAGAAGCCTCCACCATTTATTGGGACCTCCGTTGGCCCCAGGGCACATCACTGGGCCCAACCCGTTCCCTCTCTGCTCTCCTCCACGTCTGCGCATCGGGCACGGTAGGAGCAAAGTCATTTCCCATGGAAAAAGGATTACAAGGGAAATGCTCCTTCCTCCCACTAGCTCAGCTGTGGGACTGCTCTGGAGCTCACGGACAGGAATAGGGCAAGAATTC